TTCATTTAAAAGAGTCGATCATCAGATATTGTCCAAGATTAACCTTCAGGGAGGATATAGCTCGCTAGCAGCCTCGCACCGAGGACCTATCCACGTCATCATTTACCCAGAATGCTTTGTGTGTAAATAAAATGGCTCCATCCGTGTAATATATTTTTGAACTTTTTGTTTAAAAATGATACAGCCTACAGTATTTTAACAGTCTTTAGTATACAATTAAAATAAATATTTATCAAATAAAGTCTAATGTTACAACTAATCGGGGATCCCTTTAACACCTTCACTGTCATCAGTGGGCTCTTACATGACGCCAGGAGGCTTCTGGTGTTTTAGTTGTATGGTTGAAGTTGTGTTGACAATCTGAGACGTGACACAGTGTGTCACGGTAAAAGTCGTTAGGCTGGCCACGTGGATGTTATGAAGTTAGCTTCTGTAGCTCTTAGGGTTTCTCATTGGTAAACTCTGCGTTTACATGTTCTCTCTGTGGATAGCAATATCAGCCTTAATGTGTTTCCACGAAGAATTGATGTCCTGATTTGAATCTTTGGAGGAGCAACGGCACAGTTTGGAACTATTTTAGGTCAATAAAATTCACAGGAATGGTTTATAAGCTGCTGCCCCACTAATATGTAAAGCAGTGGTTCACAATTGTGGGGTCAGGACCTCAATGAGGAGAATGAAACACTAAATGAAGGTCCTTAGATGTCAACTAACTGTAGATTTCAAAATTATTACATGTTCATCATAACTGTTAAACTATAAAAGCAAAAGTCATGATATTGTTGATGTTACGACTCTTTATGTTTACCATAATTGTGTCCATGTTTAATTAGGTTATTATCCATTTTTCTTTATTCAAGCCAGCAAATGTTGGGACACAAGCATTTGTCACAATTATTTTGAGGGTTGGAAGCCTAAAGGTTTGGGAACCATTGATGTAGGGGAACCATGTTTTTTTTTTATTCCCTGCCAAGGATTTTATGTTAAACTGAATTTATTGTATTTGTATTTTTTTAATGAATTCAATTATCAGTTTTGTAA